AAATGGGAAAAAATGGGAAAAAATGGGAAAATGGGATTGGGAATGGGATGGGAATGGGAGCAATAGGGAACAGAAATGAAATGGGACTGGGATTGGGAATGGGAAATGAGAATGGGAACTGGAATGGGAATGAATGGGAAAATGGGAATGGGAGAGGAAATGGGGAAATGGGAAAATGGGAATGAGAATTATGGGAGTGGGAATGGGAAATGGGAAAGGGAATGGGTTTGGGAATGGGAGTGGGATTGGGAGGGGAAGGAATTCCCTTTCCAGGGGAAAAGGGATTGGGAATGGGAGAGGGAATGGGAAATGGGATTGGGACCCCCCGCCCAGGGGGACCCTGCAAGGATGCAGCTCATCTGAGCCCCCAAATTCCAGCCCTGAGGGGAGGGATAAACCCCCCCAGAGTGGGGAGAGGGACCTGGGGGCTTTAGAGGGACTGGGGGATGTGGGGTGGAATCTTGGATGGGACCTGGGGTGGATTTGGGATGGGGCTGGGAGAGGTTGTGGGATGGGAACACGGCGAGGTTTGGGATTGGGTCTGGGGTGGGATCTAAGATGGGATCTGAGCGGGTTTTGGGCTGGGATTTGAGATGGGATCTGAGCAGGTTTTGGGCTGGGATCTAAGATGGGATCTGGGGGATTTCAGCCTGGCCATGGCCCCCTAAAAGGCCCCATGAGACCGGGAAACCCCTGGGAATCCTGACCCCCCTCCCAAAACCCCGACATCCTCCCAGAACCCCGACACCCCCTGAGCATCCCGAGCCAGCTGCTCCTGCTGGGATCCCCTCCTGGATCCTGGGCTGCTCCTGCTGGGATCCCCTCCTGGATCCTGGGCTGCTCCTGCTGGGATCCCCTCCTGGATCCTGGGCTGCTCCTGCTGGGATCCCCTCGATCCCTGTGCCCCAGCCCAGTCCCACAACCCCCAAATCCCGACACCATTCCCGGGCTGGCACATCCTGCCCTGGCCAGACTCACCCCACTGGGGACAGGGAGAGGACTGGGATGAGCTGGGATGAGCTGGGATGAGCTCAGCCGTTTTTCCTGTTTTTACATTCCCAGCCCGGTCAGCTGATTTAAAAAAGAAAAAAAAAAAAAAAAAAAAAAAACCAAACCAAAAAAAACCCCGTTTTCCTTTGTGGATCTGCCCTTGGATCTGCCGGGGAGCGGCCACAAACGCGGGATAATAAATATGAAATAATAAAAAAATGAGGAGAGGAGCGTGGCCATCGGGGGAAAAGGAAAACCACAGGCACGGCTCTTCCCAAGAACCCACGAGGCTCCCCCCACACAGATTTTGGGGTTCCCGGGCTCATCCAGGTGCAGAAAAGCAACCGGGATGAGCGGGAGCTTCCCAGAGCCTGGTGGGAACGTCAGGATGCAAATCCAAACTTCGGAGCAGGGAAAGGGAAATCCTGCAGCAGCTCCCCCCAAATCCCAATTCTGGGGACAGTCCTGCCCCCAAAATCCCGATCCTGGGGACAGCCCCCTCCCCAAATCCCAGTCCTTGGGACAGCTCCCCCCAAATCCCGATCTTGGGGACATCTTCACCCCCAAATCCCGATCTTGGGGACATCTTCACCCCTAAATCCCAATCCTGGGGAGATCCCCCCCAAATCCCGGTCCTGGGAACATCTCCCCCCCCAAATCCCAATCCTGGGGCAGCTCCAGCTCCTTATCCGGATCCTGGGGACATTTCCCCCCACAAATCCCGGTCCTGGGGGCAGCCCCGAAATGTTGGTGGTGGAGCGGCGGGTTTGGATCCCGAACGGGACGCGGGAACAGCGGGATAACGGCGGACCGGGAATTTCGGGAGCTGCTCCGAGCTGGGAACGGCCAAACGCCTGCCCGGGATGGGGCGGGGTGGGCCGGGATTCCCGCTGGGAATTCCGGGGATCCCGGAGGGGTTTGGAGCCGGGGGTGACAGAGTTGGGGGGGGTTCCGGTGTTTTCCCGGGATCCCCGGTACCGGCGGGGAACGATCGGCGGGGGATCCCCATCCCGGGGGTGTCGGAGGGACCCGGGACCGCCTTGGGGGTGTCCCGGGTGGGGGCCCTGGGGTGGGGTCAGGGGGGACTTTGGGGGTGTCCGGGTGTCCCCAGGTCACCCCGGCTCACCCCGGCTCACCCCGGACGCACCTGCGGGTGACGGGAGCGGGGGTTGAGCTCCGTGCGAGGCGGAAATTCCCAATTCCCGAGGGGTCCCGGCCCCGCGCCCCCTCCCCCTCGTCTCCCGCACTCCAAACCAACCAGGAACCATTGGCCGAGCGGATCCTTTTCCCTGTTATCCCTTTTCCCGCAGATCCGGGGCTGCCGCTCCCGTTCCCCAAATCCGGGACCGCTCCCCGTTCCCCCCTCGGCACCCCCCGATTCCCTTTCCCAGCGATTTCCAGGGATCGGGAACGGCCCCCGCGTCCCCCTCGGCGTGAAACTCTCCCTTCCCCACTCCCCGAGATCCTTCCCATGGGATTTATGCGTAATTCAGCTGGGAACCCCCAAAGCACCGCAGGGCAGGGCGGGGCTGACTCCGTGCCTCAGTTTCCCTGCCCCAAAGGCAGGAATTCCTTCTCTCCCGCACGGAATATTCCCATTTCTTTTTCCCGCAGCCGGCAGAACCCCACATCCCACGGGGCTGGACCCCGACTCCACGGGGCTGCCCCCACATCCCCACCTTGTCCCGGTTCCGGACGGGTCACACACCTTGGACAGTCCCAGCACAGCCGGATCCAGGCGGGATTTCATCTCCTGGGAAAAACCAGCACGGAACGGCTCAATCCCGGCTGCATCGGCTCCATCCCGCTCCGGAGGCACCTGCGGGCCCCCAGCACCTCCGGGGGGAAGCGATTCCCACCTCCCGGGAATATCTGGGAGCGTGGACAAAGCTCCGGGAGCGCCCGAAGCCCCCGCAGAGCCTCGGCCGGGGTGTCCCGCCGGCAGAAATCCCAGGAAAATCCCGAATTCCGCCCCCTCCGGAGCCAAACGGCCTCGGGTTCCGTCTCCCTCCGGGTATTCCCGGGGATTTGTCCCGCCGGGAACGTGTTTGTTTAAACAAACGGGTGGAACGGGGACCTTTGTGCGGGATTCGGGAGGTGCCAGGAGGTGACAACTCCCGGGACCCGAGCCCTGCCCGCTCCCGAAGCTTTTCCAGGGGATTTCGTCGGGAATTCTCTTTTCCAGGGCAGGGAATGAGCCTTTTCCCCAGGTTTTTTTGGGGTTAAATTTTGGCCTCGCAGTTTCCTGGTTCTGCGGGTCCGCCCCGCGGTGCTTGTGTGCATAAACCTTTGGAATTAGGGTGGAATTTGGGAAGTTGGGGCTTAAATTCCTGGATGGAGGCGGAAATGGGGTCTTTGGGTCCTTGCTAAGCCAAGCTGTGATTCCGTAGAGGGACAAAAACCCCAGAGATATTCCAGGTGGAATCTTCCTCTGAAGTATTTCCAACCTGAACAATTCCATGATTTCCAAGGGGATTCTGGAATTGGCTCCTCCTCACCAGGGTCCCCTCGGGGCAGGGGGGGGTCCCGTCCTGCCCCGATGCCGCAGCTCCACCTCCCGAAATCCAGGGAGGTGCCAGGATTTGGGATCCAACAGGGACAACTCCTTTTCCCAACCAAAATCTTGCCCTATAGCCCAATCCAGCTGCTGGGAATGAGCCACCCTCGCCCTTTTTCCAGCTGGAAATCCCGTGGGAGTGGCAGCAGATCCCGCTGGGATCATCCTTACCCCTCATCCCCGCTGAGATTCCCGGCGCTCCGATCCTCCCGGCAGCTCGGATCCCACCGGCAAGGGAGGGGTGGGATCCGGGGGTGAGGAATTCCAGCCCCGGGACATTTTTTAGGGACAAAAGGGACACTGTTCCCTCGGGATCTCCGTCCACCAACACGGGAATTCTTGGCTGTGGCGTGATGGGAGCCACCAAATATTGGAATTTTTGGGGGTCATCTCCAAATATCGGGATTTTGAGGCAGCAAAATGCAAATCTTTTATTTTCCATGGAATTTCTGCAATTCCAGCAGCGGCACACGGAGGGAAATTGATGTCTGGCATCACAGCAGCTCCGGAGGGAGGAACCCACGATCCCAGTGACCCTGATACTGGATCCCAGTGATCCCAGTGACCCCAGTAACCCTGGTACCTGATCCCAATGACCCCAATGATCCTTGTATCCGATCCCAGTGGTCCCAGTGATCTCAGTACTTGATCCCAAATATCCTTGTGATCCCAATGATCCCAGAGATCCTTGTACCCGATCCCAATGATCACTGTGATCCCAGTATCCAATCCCAATTATCCCAATGATCCCAGTGATCCCTGTACCTGATCCAAGTGATCCCAGTGATCCCAGTGATCCTGGTACCCAATCCCAATGATCCCAGTGATCCCATTACCTGATCCCAGTGATCCTTGTACCTGTTCCAAAATGATCCCTGTGATCCTTGTGATCCCAATGATCCCACTACTCAATCCCAGTGATCCCTGTGATCCCAATGACCCCTGTGATCCCACGACCCTGCTCCCTGTTACCCCTGTGACCAATCCCTGCAGGAATCACCATTTTACTCCCAAACCCCCACCTTTCCCCCCCAAAAAAGAACTCCCTGGATGCCTATCAACAACATTCCCCCTTCCCACGGCCCGGATCCCCTCCCAGCCCATGGATCCAACCATCGGATGACGCCCAGCGCTGGAAAGCGACCCTGGGAGTGGAGGAATCCCTGCTGGGATGGAATCCATGGAAATCCGGAGCTTTGGGGAGGTGCCTGGAGTGCAGGTCCGGAGCAGGCCCGGAGCAGGCCCAGAGCAGGTTCAGAGCAGGCCCGGAGCAGGCCCGGAGCACGTCCAGAACAGGCCCGGAGCAGGCCCGGAGCAGGTTCAGAGCAGGCCCGGAGCAGGCCTGGAGCAGGTTCAGAGCAGGCCCGGAGCAGGCCTGGAGCAGGTCTGGAGCAGGCCTGGAGCAGGTTCAGAGCAGGCCCGGAGCAGGCCCGGAGCAGGTTCAGAGCAGGCCCGGAGCAGGCCCGGAGCAGGCCCGGAGCAGGCCCCGAGCAGGCCCCGAGCAGGCCCCGAGCAGGCCCCGAGCAGGTCTAGATGAGCGGGTAGGAGGCGTAGCTGGCGATGCCGCAGAGGTTGGAGGCGTTGCGGGCCATGCGGATGTACCCCGCGTCTCCGAAATGCACGCCCCAGCTTTGGGAACAGGGAGAAGAAAAAAGGGGAAAATCCACGTTTTTTACAAGGAGAAGGTGCCAGGATCCTGGGAATCACTGAGCCATTCCCAGGGCAGCGGGGATGTTTCTTTTTCTCTCTGCTCTGGGGCGTCCTGACTTAGAGGACCCAGTCTCAAGCTACATCAGGGAAGGGATAGGTTGGATATTAGGAAGAAATTTTTCACCAAAAGAATAATAAAGCACTGGAATGCTCTTCCCAGGGAGGTGTAGAATCACCATCTCTGGATGTGTTTAAATAAACACTGGACATGGCACTGGGTGCTATAGTTGAGGTTTTAGGGCATAGGTTGGACTCAGTGATCTCACCTCAGGGTCTTACCTGTTCTTCACCAGCCAATATTCCTTGTTTTCCAGGGAGCCGTATCCCACCACCAGCACCCCGTGGTTCACCTCCTGCGAGCACTGGGGGTCATCAAACACCCCTGGGGAGGGAGAAAACACGGAATTCCAACGGGTCCCAGCCTCCCTCCAGGAATTCACCGCCAGCCTCCCAAATCCCACTTGAATTCCCAATGATCCCTCTCAGCAGGGGAAGGATTCTGGGGTGAAAGGAAGAAGGTGGATTTGGAAGGTTGGAAGGACTCTGGGGTGAAAGAAAGGAAGAAGGTGGATTTGGAAGGTTGGAAAAGCACTAAAGGCCTCAAGACCACCCCACTCCAGCCTCCCTCCAGGAATTGACCCCCGAAATTCCCGAATTCCGCCCAATTCTCACCGGAGCGGTAGAGGAAGAAGCTGGGCCGGGTGGCGTCGATGGCCACGGCCACGGGGCCCACGGTGGCCACGGCGTCCCTGAGCGCGGCCTCGTCACCCTCGGGCAGCTCCACGAACCGGGAGCAGGAGGCGGCGCGGGCGGAGGCGTTGTAGTGGCACGTCCCGTTCTGATGGGAAACGGGAAAAAAATGGGAAATGGGAATGAGCTGGGAAACGGGGACCAGGTGGGAAACGGGAACAAGCCAAGAATGGGAATGTGCCAAGGAATGGGGACCAGCCGGGAAATGGGAACAAGCCAAGAAATGGGAATGAGCCAATGGGATCCAGGAGCGTTCCCAGACTCCCGTCTGACCCCATCCAGTCCCACCTTCCCCATCCTTGGTTTGTTTCCCACAGCATTCTCTGTCCTTTTTCCTCAAAAACATCCAAAATTCCAACCCCATCCTGAGGTTGGTTTCCCTTCCCAATCCCAAATCCAGCACAAGCCTTCATTCTCATCCTCCTCTTCCCTGAAGCCTCCATCCTCATCCTCCCTATCCACAGATGCTTCTCATTCCCTCCAGATCCCAGGAACAGCAGCTTTTCCCTCTGTAGCTCCACATTGGAGAGTAAATTCCTGCTTTTTCTCGGATTGAGCTGTTGTTGCTCTGACCCATTTCCCAGGACTGTGTTTTCAGGAGGCTCCTGACCCATTTTTCCCTCCCCTCCAGCTCGTTGCTTAAGAAATGGTGAAATAACCAGGTAGGAATTCCAGCTCCTGGTCCAGTCACTCCCCTCCAAATAACTTCAAGGTTCCTGGGGTGGCTTTGGACACTGAGGTGCCACCAGGAAACCGGGGCAGGGGGAATTGGATGGGAGAGGAGGGAGGAAAAACAGGAACAGGGTGAGGTTTCCATGGATTTTCCTGGAAAAGAGGTTTCCGAGGCCCACCTGAGCCGTGTAGGGATAGGACTCCTCGGACTCGATGCCGCCGTTGTCGATGATGTACTGGAACGCCTCTGTCATGTACCCCCCAGCACAGCCCTTGTTCCCGTACATCCTGGAGCAATCCACCAGGTTCTGGACGCTCAGGGACACCAAATTCCCGGTTTTCAGCTTCACCTGCGCTTCCAGCGCTCCCACGGCGCTGAAGGCCCAGCAGGATCCGCAGGCGCCCTGGGAAGGAGGCGGGAGAGGCTCAGGAGCTGCCCCGGGGAGGCTCACCTGGTTCTTCACCTGGGGCGAGGCTCACCTGGTTCTTCACCTCGGTCACACAGCCCTTGTCCCGCCAGTCCAGGGCCTCGGGGACGTCACCGAGCGGCCGGGATTGGGCTGGGAATGCGGAATTCCGACGGGGACGAGGACGGAGCTGGAGCCCCGTCAGCGAAGCCGCCACCTCCTCGCTGGTCTGGTGGGAAGGAGAATCCCAGAGGGTGATTCCTGCTCTCTGTCAGCCCCACATGAGGGTATTGGGGGTGCAATGGGAGTTCGGAGGTGGAATTGGCTGTGGGTGATCCTCAACTTCTTGTTTTTCCATTTAATTTCAAGGGTTTCGTCAGAAAAGGAGAAGCTCAGCTCCAGCTCCCCAAATCCCTGGAAACTGGGTCATAAATCCCCCCTCCCAAATTTGGGATGATCCATAAATATCCCAAACGACCACGACAGCTCCTGTGCGCCCCAAATTCCACCCCAGGGAGTTCTTTCCTCACAGAATTCCAGAGCAGCCTGTCCCCGGCTGCTGGATCCCACCAGGATGGGCTGAGGGGGATGTCAGGAGTTTTCCCACCCCTGACCCACCAAAACCCAGGTTGAGTCACCCTCCAGGGCAATTCCAGAGGGTTGGAACTGCTCCCAGCACCCACCATGTCCCCCAGGTGGTTCATCCCCAGCGTGTAGGAGCGGAGGCCCAGGGAGTGCTCCAGGTTGTGGAGGGTCACCAGCCACAGGTTCTTCTCCCACGTCAGGCGACGGAGAAAATCCTCCTGGAATTCCAGCAGGGCCCTGTCGGAGCTGGGACAGCCCCTCCAGAGCCATCCCACCCCAGTTCATCCCAGTAAAGGCTGTTGGGAGCCCCAGCTGGGTCATCCCTGGGGAGCAGCCGTGCTTGGAAGCACCATTGGATCTTCTCCAACGGGTGGTCACCCCCCAGGATATTCCCAGGACATTCCCAGCTCCCCCTCTGTCACATTCCCACCTGGGGATGATATTCCTTGCCGTAGGATTTTTTCCAGAGCTCCCAGTGCCGGTCCAGCGCAGGGTCGGGGTGTCCCAGTGCCAGCACCAGCAGGGCCAGGAGGGCAGCGGGAGCCAGAGGCTCCATCCCGGGATTCGGAGCAGGAGCCGAGGGCTCGGAGCCGGGATTGACCCCTCGGTGACAAATCCGGTCTGGGCAGGGAGGTGACAACACCCCGGTGACCTGGTGGTGCCACCAGCCCGCCCGGACACGCAGCCCGAAATTCCCTGCAGGGGAGAATCCGGGAGCCAGCCCCGTGCCCGTGAGGGCAGGCCAGGACACATCCGAGCTGCTGGGACAAATCCATGCCCAAAAATCCCCAAATTCCCTGGTTTTACCCAACCTGTGCCCCCCCAGGATGGGACACACCGACAATCCCACAACCCAGGTGGAGCTCCGGGGTGAGACGGACCCCAATAAATCCCCATAAATCCACTTGTACCAGAGTTTTGCTTCCTCAAAGTGCTCCTGGGGCGGGGATTAAAACATCAAAGCCGCCTGAATTACCTCCAGAAGCTGCTCCGGGGTGGCTCCGACCTCCAGCGCCAGGAGGGGGGGCCGGGGAGGGGATTTGGGGTCGGATCCGGAGCGTTCCCGGGGCCGGCACGCCAGGATTTGGGGCGCGGGGCAGTGGCGCCGTGGGGAGAAATCACGAGCCAGGAAATGAGGGAATGAGGAACCGAAAGTCCCAATTTCGATTTCAGTTTGGAGCTGAGGGGCCAGCAGGGCCAGAGCTTCTAGAAAACACCCAGGAACTGAGGGGGTTTGTCCTTCCAGCACCCCAAAAATGCGGGGTGAGAGTGGGGTCACAGCTCAGGGTGGGTTTTGGGAGCTCCAGGTGGGAATGGGGAGAGCTGAGCCCCCAGTTCCCCCCTGATCCCTCCAAAGCCAGATCTGGGGAAAACATCCTGGTTATTCCCCTCCAGATGGGAAAAAAGGGATGGGAAGAGGATCCATATTAGGATCAGAGCACTAATCCATGTAAAGATATTCCCAGTTCTTCCAGTTAATCCACAGACAGAAAAGTTTTATCCACATGGAATTCCCAATCGAGTCCAGCTGGAGCATCCCCACCAGGACAGCAAGGAGATTTGTCCCACCCCAGGCTGGTGGTGGCACCACCTGCACCTGGACTCTTTGGGAATCATGGAATAGTTTGGGAAGGGATGGCAGGGACACCTCCCGGGAAGGAATTCCCTCCCCACATCCCCAAACCCCACTGTCCCTGCAAGCCAAGAACCAGAAGTGACCCATTTTGGGTATTTTATCCAAAATTTATTAGCGGGAAGCGGAGGGGGCGACAGGGACCGGGCGGAATTCCCGTGTGTCTCCGTGGCATCCCGGCTGGCTCAGTGCTGCTTCCGCCGGAACGAGCAGCCTGGGGGAGCAAACACAAACCTGCCAACGCTGCATCTCTCTGGCAAGGGCAATTCCACCTCTCCCAACCCAAATTTTGGGGAATTCCGCAGGTGAAGGCTCCCAAGAACAGCCAGAATTCCAAACCTCTCCTTGGAATTCCAACCCTCCACCAGAATTCCAAAACTACTCAGGGGGGGGAATCAGCCCCCCCTGAGGTCCCAAATCCCCCCTGGGATCCCAAATCCCCCCACCCCAAGCAGGAACCAGCCCCTCCCAGGGTCCCAACACCCTCCAGTGGGATCCACACCCAAAAATTCCCATCCCAAAAATTCCCAAAACCTCCCAAGCCCTCCTTGGATGGCACCTCCCCATGGAGCAGCCCCAGATTCCTCCATCCCTCTCCTCAGGATTCCCGGGATTCCCAAAGCCCCACCGGGATACCCACCCTCGGTGAGCCGAGCTTTGCCCCCCGTGGGCTGGCACAGCACCGTGGAGCAGCCCACGCAGAGCACCACGGTCTGGGCATGGCTAAACACGGTCGTGATCTTGTAACAGCCTGCGGGGACAACGTGGGGACAGCGGAGTCACCGGGGGGCACACGGGCAAGGGGACCGGGACACGTGGAGGGACACGGAGGGACAACGGGACAAGGCAGGAAACGCGTGAAGGGACACGAAAAGGGGACCCCGAGAGGGACACAGAGGGAGAGGCCGGTGGGAAACGGGGAAGGACACGAAGACATGGGGGGAGATAGTGAAAGAAACACGTGGAAAGGAACGGAGGGAAGGGCAACGAGAGAGCGGGGACAACAGCGGGACACGGGGAGACCCTCGGTGCCCACCGGGGCACTTGACGTCCATGAAATACGAGTTGGGGCTCTGCACCAGCCGCTTCTTCTTGTGCTTGCGCTTCTCCTCCTCGGGAGACGGGTGCAACAGGTCCTTGGCGAGCTGCGGGGACAGCGGGATCGGTCAGTCCTGGGGGCACCGCGATCGCGATCGCTCCCGCTCCCCCCCTCCGTCCCCTCACGCCGCTGCCGCCATCTTGGAGCTCCCCCCTTAGCGCTCCTCGCCCTCAGCGCCCCGCGCGCCCCCGGCCCCGCCGCCCTCCCCGCGCCTTCCCCGCGCCCTCCCGCCCCTCGCTGGCCCCGCCGGGCGCGGTCCCGGGGCGGCCGCGGGGGCGGCGGAGCCCGGGCAGGGTCGGGCCGCACTCACGGGCATGGCGGCGGCGGCGTGAGAGGCCGGAAAGGGACGGGCTCAGCTCCGCACCGCCATTTCCGCTGTGGGGTGGCCCCAGGGGCGGAAGTGGGGCGGTGCCATCGTTGGGCTGTGGACGTGGTGTTGACGCCATTTTGGGAAGGTCGCTCACTTAGCCGCCTTTTGGGACGGTCGTTAAAGTTTTGTCACTTTGAGAAAGGCCCCTCTCATTGCCGCCACTTGGGGTGGTCCTTTAAACTGTCGGAATTTGGGAAGGTGCCTCATTGTCAGTAGGGTCGTTCGTGTTTCCGCCATTCTGAGACGGTCCCTATGTTGCCGCCCTTTTTGGGAGGTCGTCATGGCCGTCCGCCATTTTGGGAAGGTCACTGACCCGCTGCCATCTTGGGATGGTGGCGCTTGCGCCATTTTTGGAGTGGCATATCGGACTCGTGACGTAAGGGTATCGATTTGGTGACATCATCGGGGCGTGGCGTCACGGCGGGAGGCGGGGCCGCAGCCAGGCCCCGCCCGGGGGGGCCGGCCCGGTCCCGGTCCCGGTGGCGGCGGGCGGTGGCGGGGGCCATGGCCAAGGCCTACGACCACCTCTTCAAGCTGCTGCTGATCGGGGACAGCGGCGTGGGCAAGACCTGCCTCGTCATCCGCTTCGCCGAGGACAACTTCAGCAGCACCTACATCTCCACCATCGGTGAGTGGGACCCCCCCAGGACCCCTCCGGGACCCCCCCAACGGGGACCCACCGGGATTCACCGGCACTTCCCAAACCGGGATCCCCCCCAGCCTGAGACCCCCCAGTGGGACCCTCCCCAACTGGGAACCTCCGGGATTCACCGGGACCTCCCAACGGGAACCCAACGGGACCCATCGGGATTGTTTGGGACTCCAATCCTGGGAGCCCTCCGGGATCCCCCAACCGGGATTCACCGGGATCCCCCCTCTCTGAAATCCTCCCGGGACCCCTCCCAGATCCCTCTGTCCCGGGACCCCCATCCCGGGATTCACCGCGACCTCCCCTCTCTGAAATTCCCCCGGGACCCCTCCCAGATCCTTCCACCCCGGGACCCCACCGGGACCCCCATCCCGGGATTCACCGGGACTCCCCCTCTCCGAAATCCTCCCGGAGCCCCTCCCCGGAACCCACCGGGACCCCCATCCCGGGATTCACTGGGACCCTGGCACTCAGCAAGAACCCCCATCCCAAAATCGCCGGGACCCCCACGCTGGAATTCACCAGAACCCCCCACCGGGAACCTACCGGGTTCTTCCCGGGAACCTCCACCCCGGAATGCCCCGGGATTCCCTTCCCGGATTTTGCCCCCGCCTCTCCCGGAGATCCAGATGGTTGCTGGGCGCCGGAATGGCGGCACTGGGAGCACTGGGAGCACTGGGAGGGACCGGTTCTGCTCCCCAGCTCCCAGTGCCCCCCTCACTTTCCCCCAGGGATCGACTTCAAGATCCGCACTGTGGATATCGATGGGAAAAAGATCAAGCTGCAGGTCTGGTGAGTCGGGGATGGGGGGTGCTTAGGGAGGGTAGGAGACCCCCAAATCCCCCCCAAAAATTCCCCCAAAATCCCCAAAACCGCCCCGTTTCCGCAGGGACACGGCGGGACAGGAGCGCTTCAAAACCATCACCACGGCCTATTACCGCGGAGCCGTGGTATGGGGAGGGGGCTACACCCCGGGGGGGGGACCCTGGGGGTGAGGACCCCACCCCAAAACCGCGGGCAGGGGGTCCGGACCCCCCCCGCCATGACCCCCGATCCCCCCCAGGGCATCGTCCTGGTGTACGACATCACGGACGAGAAATCCTTCGAGAACATCCAGAACTGGATGAAAAGCATCAAGGAGGTGGGTGGGGGGATTCCGGTGGGGGGGTGGGTGGGGGGTTCGGGCGGGGGTCGCGGGGGTCCTGCCCGTGTTTCCCTCCCCTCTCCCCAGAACGCCTCGGCCGGGGTGGAGCGGCTCCTCCTGGGCAACAAGTGCGACATGGAGGGGAGGAGGAAAGTGCAGCGGGATGCGGCCGAGAAGGTGGGAGGGGGCTCGGGGAGGGGGCTGGGAGGGAAGTGGGGTGTTGGGGGGGTCCCTGGGGGTGGGACTGGGGGGTCTGGAGGCGGCTTTGGGGCTGGGGGCCTCTGGGGACACGCTGGAGGAGTCTGTGGGGCTGGGACTGTGGGGGCTCCATGGGAATTGGGGGGTCACAGGAGGGTTAGGGGGGGTTAGTGGGATTGTGGGGGTCACAGGGGGTTTGGGGGGGGGTCCCAGGGGCCTGGAGGGGCTGCGTGGGGATCACAGGGTGGTCGTGGTGCCTCAGCTGGCCAAGGAACACGGGATTCGCTTCTTCGAGACCAGCGCCAAGTCCAGCGAGAACGTGGAGGAGGTGAGAGGGGGTTCCCTGTGACTGCACCCCCAGGTTTGCCGGAACGGGGGGTCCCTCCCTCCTCCTGGGGGGGGTCCCCAAGCACTGCCCCCCTCTCTGAGCAGCCCCTGTCCCCCCAGGCCTTCTGCACGCTGGCACGGGACATCCTGCACAAATCCTTCTGCAAAGCCGTGAGTGGGGCCGGGATTTCAGGGGTGGGGGGCAGACCGGGGACCCCCCTGCACCCCCCTGACCCCCTGCTCTCTCCACAGCCCCCTGGCAACAGCAGCAGGGCCCTGCTGGAGCCCGGCCCACCCCGGAAGGCCGGCGGGAGATGCTCCCTGGGGTAGGGGCTTGGGAGCTCCCCGAGACCCCCGGGGCAGCGCGGGCGCCTCTCCGGAGGGATCTGGGGGGGAATCTGGGGGGATTTGGGGCTGCCCCCCTCTCTCCTTGTGCCATAAAGCCCCGCTGTGCCTTGTCCCGGCTCCGGAGTCTCTTTGATGGGGGTTTGGAGGGGGTGGAACGGGGTCGGGACCGGGATTGGCGCTGAGACCGAGATCGGGATCGAGATCAGGATTGGAGATGGGATCGAGATCAGGACCGGGACCGGGATTGCGATTAGGACCGGGATCGGAGACCGGATCGGGACCGGGACCAGGGACAGGATCGCGGTCGGGACCGGGATCGGCATCGCGACCGGGATCGGGATCGGGATTAGAGACGGGATCGAGATCGAAATTGCGATCGAGACCAGGACCGGGACCGGGACCGGGATCGGAGACGGGGTTGAGATAGGGACCGGGACCGGGATCGGGGCCAGGATTGCGATCGGGACCGGGACCGGGACGAACGGCAGCGAAGCCGCGCCCAAGCCGCGCCTACAACACCAAACTTGGATTTTTGCCACGCCCACTCCCCGACCGCGCCCCACGCCGGCCGCGTATCCACGCCCCTAATTAAGCTTAAACCACGCCCCTAATTAAATAATCAATACCAGTTATGGTCAAGCCACGCCCCTTTGTGTCCTTCGGACCACGCCCCTCTCTCCCATTGGCTGACCCGGCGCCGCCGCCAGGCCCCGCCCTTCCCCTCCCGGCACCCCTGGCAGTTCCAACATGGCGGCGCTGCTGTCCCGGCGGGGCCGTCCCCGGTAGTTCCCGGCGGATTGCGGGGGTTCCTGGGGCTTTCCCGCCGATCCCGCCGCCCCGATGGGGCCCGGCGGCCTCACGGTGCTGCTGGCGGTGCTGAACGGGCTGTGGTGAGCGGGAACCGGGGGAAACCGGGGGGTGGAAGGGACGACGGGCCCGGTGCGGGGCCCTCACGGCAGTTCCTCTGTGCCCACAGCCCGGCGGCGGTGGCGGCAGCAGCGGCGAGCGAGGAGCGGCCCGGTGAGCAGGGCCAGGCCGGCGTTTGGGACGATCCCGGGGCTCGGACCGGTCCCGGGGGGCTCGGTCTGGTCCCGTGGGTTTGGACCGGGATGTGGGGGACTCGGACCGGGGGGTTCGGACCGGGGTCCCGGGGACTCGGACCGGTATAAATCCGGGGCTGGGAGGCTGGAGACGGAGGGGTCTGTCCGGTAGTGGGGTCCGGGGCTCTGTCCGGTCCCGGGGCGCTCCCCGCCGGTTCCCCCGTAACGCGATCCCCCCGCACCGCAGCGAGCCCCGCGGTGGCCACGCCGTGCTGGCGAGTGGAGCAGTTCGTGGTTGCCCAGGAGTGTACGCGGTGCTCCGGCTTCGAGATGGTGAGTGCGGCTCCCCAGGGTCGGGGTCCCCCCGTTTTCCCCGGGGGTCTCTCCGTGACCGAGCCCTCCGTGCCCCCGTTGGCAGAAAACAATCCCGGCGTGCGGCCCCACCGGCTTCATCGAGAAGATCAACTGTGCCTCGTCCCACCGGGATGAGTATAAGAGGTGGGGCTGGGAATTAACGGGGGATCGGGGCTGGGAATTAACGGGGGATCGGGGCTGGGAATTAACGGGATCGGGGCTGGGAATTAACGGGGGATCGGGGCTGGGAATTAACGGGGGATCGGGGCTGGGAGTGATCGGGGGATCAGGGCTGGTAATTAACGGGGGATCGGGGCTGGGAATTAACGGGATCAGAGCTGGGAATTCCTGTGAGATCAGAGCTGGGAATTAACGGGGGATCAGGGCTGGGAATTCCCGGGATCGGGGCTGGGAATTCCATCGGGGCCGGGAATTCCTGTGAGATTGGAGCTGTGAGTTCCATCAGGACCGGGAATTCCAGGGGGATCGGAGCTGGGAATTCCTGTGGGATTGGAGCTGGGAGTTGACGGGGGATTGGGACTGGTCATTCCTGGGGGATCGGGGCAGGTGATGGGGCCGGGAATTCCCAGGGGATGGGGCATTCCCCTGGGCTGTGCTCGGCGGAATTCCCAAGGGATGGGGCCGGGAATTCCCAGGGGATGGGGGGCGGAATTCCCAAGGGATGGGGCGGGATGGGGCCGGGAATTCCCGGGGGATGGATGGGGCGTTCATTTCATCGTTCCCCCGGGCTGTGTCCGCAGCTGCCGCTCGGCCGCGCTGGAGGCTCAGCGCTTCTGGCGCTTCGTGGGCTCGGCTCTGGGCGTGGCGGCGGCGGCGGCGGCGCTGGTGGTGCTGCGGCAGCGCGTGCTGGACCGGCGGGCGCTGGAGAAGGTCCGCAAACAGATCGAGTCCATTTAGCCAGAGGCTCCTCCCGAAGGCTTGGAGCCAGGAATTCCGCTCGCCCGGAGCAGTGGGAGGGAGGAGAGGCAGCCCCTGCCTTGCTGCCCGGACCTGCTGGGATCTGCCTTGGGAGAGCGTCCAGGGCATCCCACAGAGCGGGATGTGGAATAAATCCCTGGGTTTGTCCCTTTGGGGGAGTCCCCGTGACCCCCCCACCCCAGCACTGGGATCTGCTCTGGGATCATCCTCCAGGAGAGGGATGTGGAATAAATCCTGCTCGTCGTTCCTGGAGTGATGCCGTGGTTGTTTCTTGGGAGGGTCCCTGGTTCCTCCAGTGCTGAGGGTCCCCAGGGGGGTGGAATGTGGAATAAATCCTGATCCATGTGGCTGGAGCATGTTTGGCCTTTGGGGGCCATTGCATGGGGTGCAAACACAGCTCAGGTTTATTCTGGAACGTTCCCCCACCCTGAGATCACCCCCCCATCACATCTCATCCCCATGTCCCCGTGTCCATGTCCCCGTGTCCTGCCTGGAGGAATTGGTGCCTGGATCCCTCCGGGGGGCGGGAATTCCATTCCCGGGCCCCTCCCTGGCTCCATCCTGCACTCCCGATCCCAGCTCTGGCCCCGACATCCACCGGAGGAACGGGGATTCCGCGGCCTCTCCCGGTGCCCACCGAGTCAGGATCTTCCTGGAGATCACTGCGGGAACGGGGACACCGATGGGGCCGGAGGGGTTGTCCCCGCCCCCCTCCCGGTGCTCCCGAGGCCGTCCCCGCCTCCCTCCCGGTGCTCCCGTTACCTCCGGTTGGTCCGAGGCCGTCCCGGTTGCCGTCCCGGCGGAACGGGCTGGAGCTGGGGAGCAGGATCAGCCCCAGCGACAGGAACAGGATCTGCGGGAGGGACGGGAGCCGTGAGCCCCGGAGCGGGACCGGGAGAGTCCCGGGAGGGTCCCGGGGGGGCCGTACCAGGACACAGGTGCCGGTCTGCGCGGGCTTGGTGGACGTTTCCTTGATCAGCGCCTGGAGCTGCCGCAGGAGAGACCTGCGGGAATGGGGTCAGCTCCGTGCCCTTCCCGGTGCCCCTTCCCGATGCCCCATGCCCCTCCCGGTGCCCCATCCCGGCTCCACACCCATCCCGGTGCCCCATCCCGCCTCCGTGCCCTTCCCGGTGCTCCATCCCAGCTCTGCACCCATCCCGGTGCCCCCTTCGGGCTCTGTGCCCCTCCCGGTGCCCCATCCCGGCTCCGTGCCCATCCCGGTGCCTCATCCCAACTCTGTGCCCCTCCCGGTGCCCCATCCCAGCTCTGTGCCCCTCCCGGTGCCCCTTCCCGGTGCCCCACCCCGGCTCCGCGCCCTTCCCGGTACCCCCTCCCGGCTCCGTGCCCCTCCCGGTGCTCACCCGTTGCTCGTCTCCAGCTCCTGGACCTTTTTCCGCAGCTCCTGGTTCAGTGCTGAGCACGCGGCCGCCCTGCCCGGACAGAAAGAGGGACAATAACCGGGAAAGGGACACCCCGGGATAACGGGAACGCCGGGATAACGGGAACGCCGGCCCCACCTGCTCTCCAGCTCGTCCAGGTATTCCTTCTTCCTCCGCCGGCTGTCCTGCGCCGATTGCTTGTTCCGGATCTTTCTCCGCACCTTTTTTAGGAGCCGCTCCTCGGCCTGGGGCACGGAGGGGTCACTCCTGTCCTGTCCCCCCTGCCCCGGTCCCACCGAGCCCCCCGTGTCCCCCCCGCCCGTACCTGGGTGAGGGGCAGGGCCCCGGGCAGGGTCACCCCCTCCTGCGCCAGCAGCCGCTTCTCCTCCTCCGTCAGCTGGAGCTGCGCGACAGGGAGGGACTGGGGTGAACTGGGGGGACTGGGGGTGTCTGAGGGCGAACTGGGGGGACTGGGGGTGAACTGGGGGAGTCTGGAGATGAGCTGGGGGGGGGGGGTCCAGGGGTGAACTAGGGGTGTCTGGTGGCGAACTGGGGAGGTCTAGAATTGAACTGGGGGGTCTGGGGATGAGCTGGGTGAGTCCAGGGGCAAACTGGGGGGGTCTGGGGATGAGCTCGAGAGGTCTAGGGGCGAACTGGGGGGGGTCCAGGGGTGAACTGGGGGGACTGGGGGGGAACTGGGGTGTCCGGGAGTGAACTGGGGAGGTCTGGGGGCAAACTGGGAGGTCCAGGTGTGAGCTGGGGGTGCGGGGACTCACCATGGGCTGGGGCTCGGGGCTCGGGGCCAGCTGGATGCCGGGGAACAGCGAGGGGTGCAGGGGCGTGCTGAGGTCACAGACCACCTCCAGCAGCACCGGGGGGGGCCCCTCGGGCCGGGGGGGCTCCGGGCTGGTGCCGAGGCCGCAGGCGATGTCGGGGTTCACCGTCAGCCCCAGCAGCTCCTCGGCTCCGCTGCCCTGCGGGGACACCGGGCCGGGGTCCGTGCCAGCATCCCCGGGACATCCCGGTGTCCCCGTGGGGGTCCTGCCCACCCGCGCCCCTCCCGCCCCCACTCACATCATCCTCCGGGAGCGTCAAGGTCTGGAAGCCCAGTACCGGCACCGGGAACGAGGCGGGATCCGAGAAGAGCCCGTCCGGCTCCGGGAGCTCCGGTGCCTCCATTGGGGTTCCCTGGGGACCCCCCCGCGGGACCCCTCGTGCCCCGACCCCCGGGGATGAACCCCCTGCGCCCCCTCCTCGGGGTCCCCCGGTCCCCGGTGGTGCCGCCGCCTCCGCCCGGTGCCGGCGCTGGGCACCAGGATCTCCGGGATCCCGGGGAACGCGGCCAAGTCCCGCCCCGTGCCGGGAAGGGCCGGGATCATCCCTCCCCCCGCGGGGCTCGGGGCTCCGGCCGCCCTACCGGGGCACCGGGGGTACCGGGGGGGTGCGGCTGCCCCGGTACCGCGCCCCGGAGGGTCTCGCGGTGGAACCGGGAACGGGGGAGCCGGGCTTGGGGCGGCTCCGCTGCGGCCGCCGGTGGATCTGTACCGGAGCCGGTGCCCCCCGCGCCCCCCGGTAACGGAATTCGGGTGGAGGAACGGGGAGATGCCCCCGGTAACGGGGTCAGGGAGCGTAGAACGGGGAGATCCCCCCGGACACCGGAGGATTCCCCCGCCCCGCCCGGCCGAGCGGACACGTGCGCGCTCCCGGGGCCGCGGGGCCGCGCGGGCTCCACTCGCTCCCCATTGGTTGCTCCGCGCGTCAATCAATGACGCCACAGGGGATTCCGCGTCTCTATTGGCTGAGCTGGCGACCGCACCGCCCCCCGGAGTTCCCGGGACGCCGTTGGGATGCGGCGGGCGGTGAGTGCGGGGCAGGGGGGAGCGGGGGTCCCGTTCTCGGTTCCGTCCTCGGTCCCGACCCCCGTTCCTGTCCTCGGCCCCGGTTCCGATCCCAGTCCCGGAATAACCGATCCTTGACTCCCGGTCCCGGTCCTTATTTCCCGATCCCCGCTCGGTGCCGTTCCTCGGTCCCGGTTCGCAATCCCGGTTCTTGATCGTGGTCGCAGTCCCGGTCCTTGATCCCGATCGCGGTCGTGGTTCCCGGTCGCGGTCCGTGACCTCTAACGCGGTCTGTGGTGCCCAAGTTCCCCATCCCGGTCCCCGATTCCGGTCCCGGTCCTTGTTCCCATTCCGGTCCCTCCCCGCCGCCCTGTCCGTGTCCCGGGGCCCCCGGGCGGGCGGGGGGGGTCGGCGCCGGGTGAGTCACCGGGGCCGGCGGGCGGCTCTGACCGGCCCGTCCCGTTCCAGCCCCGCTGCCCGGGGATGCGCAGCGCGGCTCGGAGTTTCCCCGGCGGCGGCGGGCGCTGAGCTCCGGGAGCACGATGGACACCGGGATCGGAGACACCGGGATCGGGGCCTCGCTGGCCTGGAGCCCCGGGGCGGCCTCGCAGCCCCCGCCCGGGCTGGGGGTGAAGTTGGGGTCGTTGGTACTGCTGCTGCTGCTGCCTCTCGCCTGCGGCCTCGCACCCCTCTGGTGCTTCCGACAGCCCCCCGGTACCGGGAATTGGGGGTCTGGGGGGTCTCGGGGTCTCAGGGGTTCGGGGAGTGGGAGACTCGTGGAATTTGGGGGGTTCCCGGGGATCTTGGGGAGTCTGGGGGTATCCGAGGGTCTGGAACAGGCTGGGGCCAGGGCTGTCCCCACCTCAGGGCTGTTCCCAAGGCGTCTGGCAGGATGCAGGGCTGAGGGGGGGGTCTCGTTGGGGTCTCAGCCCCCCCAATTTCCCCCGCAGACCCCCGCAGCCCCGTGCTCAGCCTCGTGAGCTGCTTCTCGGGCGGGGTTTTCATGGGCACCTTCCTCCTGGACCTCCTGCCTGACTACCTGGGCAGCATCGCCGCGGCGCTGGAGGGGCTGCGCATCACGGTGAGACCCCCAGGGAGCTGGTCCTGTCCCCATGGCTGTCCCTGTCCCCGGGATTGGGAAAGGGGCTGCTGGGGAGGGGGTGGCTGGGATGGGGACAGTGCAGGGGGAACAGTGGCAAAGGGACAAGGACAGAGAACGGACAATACAGGGGGTACAGTGAAAAAGGGGCACTGAGGACATTGAGGATGGGGAAGAACAGGGCAGCTGGGACAGCAGGGCCAGATGGGTGCCAGCGGAGCAGCCAGAATGGTGACAACATCCCCCAGAATGGTGACACTATTCCCCAGCCTCTCCAAAGTGCCTCTCTTAGCTCTGTGCCTCAGTTTCCCTGTCACATGATGCACGGAGGGATCCTCCTCTGCCCGCAGCTTCCCCTTGGCACTGACTGTCCCCTCCCCCTTGGCACTGTCCCCTTCCCCTTGGCGCTGACTGTCCCCTTCCCACAGCTGCAGTTCCCCCTGCCCGAGTTCATCCTGGCCATGGGTTTTTTCCTGGTGCTGGTGCTGGAGCAGGTGACGCTGGCACAGCGCGAGCTGGCCGAGCCTCCCGAGGAGTCGCGGGCGCTGCTGCCCAACGGTTCCTCCATCCAGGCCACGGCTCCCGGCGGCGGCGGCGGCCCCGGTGTCCCGGTGGGCTCGGCGGTGCCCGGTGCCCCCGGGGCGCTGCGGGCCGCGGCGCTGGCGCTGGCGCTGGCGCTGCACGCGGTGCTGGAGGGGCTGGCGCTGGGGCTGCGCGAGGGCGACGCGGCGGCGCTGCGGGTGCTGCTGGCCCTGCTGCTGCACAAGGGCGCCGTGGCCTTCGGCCTCTCGCTGGAGCTGCTGCGGAGCCGCCTGCGCCCGCCCGCCGTGGCCTCGTGCCTGGTGCTGCTGGCCCTGATGTCCCCGCTGGGCGTCGGGGTGGGCACGGCGCTGGCGGCGGGCGCGGGGCCGCGGCAGCGCCTGTGCCGGGCCGTGCTGGAGGGGTTGGCGGCCGGGACCTTCCTCTTCGTCACCTTCCTGGAGATTCTGCCCCAGGAGTTGGGGGTGCCACGGAATCGCATCCCCAAGGTCATCCTGATCCTCGCCGGCTTCGCGTTGGTCAGCGCCATCCTCTTCGTCAAGGGATGAGATCTCCCGGGATCCGCACCCCAGCCTTGGAGGATCTCGTGGAATTCCTGTACCCCGAAGTGCCAAAGTGCCTCTCCCAGCTCTGTGCCTCAGTTTCCCTGTCTAAACTGTCCTCTTTCTCAAGCCCGGCCTGGGATCCCCCATTCTTGCTCCTGGAATTTGTGTCCCACCCTGCACCCCCTTTTCCAAAGTGCCAAAGTGCCTCTCTCAGCACTGTGCCTCAGTTTCCCCATCTGCACAAGGATCGGTGCTGTGACACCCCCCCCCCCCCCTTCAGGACCCCGGGAGGGGGTGAGTGTCCCCCCCCACCCCATAACCACAAGTGCCCTTACGGACTCCCCCGGATTTGGGGGTGTTGGATGAAGCAAATAAAGGACTGAACCCCAAATTGCTGCCTGTGCCTGGGGAGGGTGGGACAGAATTTGGGGTGGGTGTTGCAGTGTCCCCTGATCACCCCCCAGGATATATGGGCTGAGGGAGTCTGGTACCCCCTAATTTTGGGTCTGGGGCGTGTCTGCTCTGTTCCCAGGCTTGGGGAGGGGGTGACCCCGCTGTACCCCCCCAGAGCCGCCCCCATTTCTGAGCCCCTCCATCCTCGTCCGTCCCATTCCCCTCGCAGCGCAGACCACGCCCCTTCCCCGCCCCGCGCTCTCGCGCTGCTCTCCTGGACTTGTAGTCCCAGCCTCCCTCACCCCCCAGTACTTCATAACCCGGTGCCTCCATTTCCCAGCGTTCCCTGCGTAGCGCTCGCACCGATCACTGGGAGTTGTAGTCCAGCACCCAGCACACTCTGCTGTTGGCACGGCCTACTGAACTACAGATCCCGGCGTGCCACGCGCGGCGGCGGCGGCTGAGCGGCGGAGCGGGGAAGATGGCGGCGGCGGGCGCGGGGGCCGGGCCCGGGCCCGGCGCGGGACCCTCGGCCGGCGCCGGTGCGTCCAACCCGCGCAAGTTCAGCGAGAAGATCGCACTGCAGAAGCAGCGGCAGGCGGAGGAGACCGCGGCCTTCGAGGAGGTCATGATGGAGATCTGCTCCACACGGGTGAGGACGGGCCGCGCGCCGGATGCGCCGCGGGGCGGGGGGGGCCGGGGCGGAGGGGCCGTGAAGGGCTGGGGGGGACCGGGGCTGAGGGGGTGGGGACTGAGGGAATCGTGAGGGGCTAAGGGGGGTCTTAAGGAGCTGGCGGGGGTCGTGATTTGGGGGGATCGTGAGGGGATGCGGGGGCGAGGGTGTGGGGCGGCTGGAGGGGTCGTGAGGGGATGGGGGGGCCTGTGAAGAATTTGGGGAGGGGGCTAAGAGGGGGCTAAGGAGGCTGCGAGGGTGTTGGGGGGAGTTTGAGGGGTCGAGAGGTGCTCTGAAGGATTTGGGCTGGGAGTAAAAGGATCCGGGAGGGCTGAGAAGGGTTTGGGGGTGTTGGAGGGGGCTGTGAGGATTTTGGGGAGGGGGTCCAGGGGGGCTCCGGGTGGATCCCGGCGTGTCCAGCGGAATCGGGGTGGGAAAAGGATCCCTGATCGCTGGGATCCCACCCCGTGTCCCCTCCGCGGAGCTCCGGGCTCTGTCCCTGTCCTCGGAGACCCTCGGGGGATGCTCAGGTTGGGCTTGTTGGGAGCTGGGAAAAGCAGGGATGGAATATCTGGGATAAATCCCACCCCGCAGCTCCGGGAAAGGCGAGTGCGGGGAACTCGGAGGGAATCGGGAAAACCAGGAATGCTCCAGATGTGGAGCTGGTCAGGAATTGCCTCCCGAAACCTGTGGGAATTTCCAACCATCCCGGGCGTTTGGTGGGATTTGGTCCTTCCCAGCCCAAAGTGCAGGATGGAGGAGCGAGGGTGTGGAGTGTGGAGTCGAGGGAGGCTCGTCCAGGGGATGGGGGCAGCGCTGACCCTGGGGAAATGCAGGGAATACTCAGCAGAGCTTCCAAAACCGGGAATTTTTGGCTTGGAGAGCCCCGTGGCTCCCGGCTCTGTGGGGACCCGGGCTCTGGGATGTCACTGCCGCCGTCACAGGGACATCCTTGGGGAGTTTGGGGATGGGCTGGACTTTTCTGTCCCTTCCTGGGGAGTTTAGGAACGGGGTGGAGCATCCCCGGGTGCTTCCATCCGCAGGGATTTTGGGGCCGTGTTTGCAGAGCAAACAGCTGGTTAATGTGCAGCGGGGCTGTGCTGATCCCTGCCTGGAATCATTCCTCTGGGAATTCCTTCCCTCATCCCTGCCTGGAATCATTTATCTGGGAATCCATGCCCTGATCCCTGCCTGGAATCATTTCTCTGGGAATTCCTTCCCCAATCCCTGCCTGGAATCATTCCTCCGGGAATCCACTCTGGGATGGCTCCTCTGGGAATTCCCTCCCTGATCCTTGCCTGGGATCATTCCTTTGGGAATTCACCCTCTGATCCCTGCCTGGAATCATTTATCTGGGAATCCATGCCCTGATCCCTGCCTGGAATCATTCCTTTAGGAATCCACTCCCTGATCCCTCTCTGGAGTCATTCCCTTAGGAATCCACTCCCTGATCCCTCTCTGGAATCATTCCTCCAGGAATCCACTCCCCGATCCCTCTCTGGGATGGCTCCTCTGGGAATTCCTCCCCTCATCCCTGCCCGATCAGTTCCCGGGTGGGATCCACAGCCCCCCCAGCTTTGCTCCATGGTTTCCTGGAGTTTTTCCCGGCTCTTTCAGAGCTGCTCCCAGGTTCCAGGCTCCCACAGGGATCCTGGCTCACAGCTCCGTGCTCCATCCCAAGACCTTAAGCCCCAGCGCAGCTCCGGGCGCTAATCCCGCCAGCTGCTGCCTAAATCTCCTGGGTTTTTTGGGTTGTTTTCCTTGTTTTTCCCTCTGGATCTGGATTTCCACGGTTTTACGCTCAGGAATTTGGTGTTTCCCGTTTCTCAGCTGTTTTTTGGGCTTCAGCTTCTCTCTCCCTGGGATTTCTCCAGGCACTGAGGAGCGACAACTCTTGGATTTATTTAGGGACCCCCAGCTCCAGAGGGACAGGGGATTCCTGTGGGTTCAGCCCAGGGAATTCCTCCCTCCCTGGGCATTGGGAGCAGGGAGGGGCGATCAGGGGACCCCTGCTCTGTCAGGATGGGGGGGTTGGCCCATGCCCTGCTGCTGGGGGGTGGTGGGGGCCCTTCCCTTTGCTGGGAATCCCAGATTTCGGGTGTTTTCTGGGATCCCCTTATCTCCCGCCCTGCTTTGCTGTGACTCCTTCCACCGGCCTTGGGTCCCGCTCTGTGCTGGAATCTCCGGGGTGGCCTTGGGTGGATGAGGTGGAAAATCCCTCTGGATCTGACTCCAGAGCCTGTCTGGGACAGGGACAGCCAGGCTCAGCCTCTGCTCTGGGACTGTGGGATCCTCTTGGGATCCCGGCTCTCATCCATCCCACTCTGGATGCGGGAAGGGCCCGGATCCACTGTGTCCCCCCCGAAGGGCAGCCTGGGTGTCCCAGGGGGTGCTGGACGCCCCAGGACGCCCCTGACGTGTCCCCCACGCCGTGTCCCCCCAGCTGCAGGCGCAGAAGCTGCGGCTGGCCCACAGCCGGGGGCCCTTCTACAGCGGCTCCCTGCCCAACGTCAACCAGATCGGCAGCGGCGTGCCCGACTTCCAGGTGACTCCAGGGGGCGTCTGGGGACACAGGGACCTTCCCCAATCCCTTCACCCGCTCCCACGAAGGGGGGAGCCGGTCCTGAGCCCTTCCTGGGTGGGCTCAGCCGTTCCCCCTCCCCTCAGGGCCCGTCCCCGCTGGATTCCACGCGGAGCACGCGGCACCACGGGCTGGTGGAGCGCGTGCAGCGGGACCCGCGCCGGATGATGTCCCCCCTGCGCCGCTACGTCCGCCAGATATCCTTTGTCCCGTGTCCCCAGCAGTGTCCCAGCCCTCCCGCCCTTCCCAGGGGATTCGGGAGCCCCCCTGCTCTCTGTGTGTCCCTTAACGTGGCCCCCACATCGACAGCTCTCCCTATGGACCCACGTACCTGTCACCACCACCTGAGCCCAGCTGGAGGAGGTAATTCCCTGCCTGCCCTGGATCCCTGGTGCCCATTCCCATCCCATTCCCATCCCTTTCCCATCCTGTTCCCATCCCATTCCCATCCTGGAGGAGGTAATTCCCTGCCTGCCTTGGATCCCTGGTGCCCATTCCCATCCCATTCCCATCCCGTTCCCATCCCATTCCCATCCCATTCCCATCCCTTTCCCATTCCATTCCCATCCCTTTCCCATCCTGTTCCCATCCCTTTCCCATCCTGGAGGTTTGGGAGTGGCAGAGGCTCTGGCACAGGCAGCCAGAGCTGCCTGGGATTCCTGGGGATTCCTGGGATTTGGGATGGGGGCAGAGGGAAGCTGCTGCCTCTCAGATTCCAGGATTGTCCCACAAAGTGGGGGTTTGAGGGGGAATTTCATCCAGTAAGAGGAATCCCCAGGGACAGGTGACAAGTCCAAGCTGCAGCTCTGTCCCTGGAGTGTCTCTGTCCCAGTATGGCGTGTGACAGCCATGTCCTTGTCCCCAGTATGGCGTGTGACAGCCGTGTCCCTGTCCCTGTTCCACCTCCCTGCCGTTCCCAGCCCTCCCAGGCAGGGAATGGGGTCCTGGATCACTGAGGGGTCCCTGCCTCCCCCGTGGCTCCTTGTTCCTCTCCCCATTGCCTCCCCTGATCCCCTTTCTCCCTCAGGACCATGCCCTGGAGCAATTTCCCCATGGAGAAAGGACATTTATTCCGGCTGCCCTCAGCTCTCAACAGGTAATGGAGGCATTGATTCTGTTTTCTCCCCGTTCCCAAGCCAGGCTCCAGCCCTTTCTGCAGAGGAGGTGGCCCAGGACCCCCCTGGGGAGGAGGTGGCCCCTGACTCCCCCTCAGGGCCCCCCTCTGGAGGGGTCCCTTTGCTCCCCGGTGCCACAGCTGAACAATGTCCCTCTTTGTCCCTCGTCCCAGCCGCCTTTTCCCAGCCCTTCCCTGCCCTCCTGTGCCTTGCAACAACTCAGTGGGAACAGCCTGGGTGCCCCCACCCCTAAAGGGTCCCCAGAGGGTCCCTGGGGGTCCCCCCGTGCCGGGGGGTGGTGGAGGAGCCGGGAGCGGAGCCAGTCTGGGGGCACAGGGGGAGGGGGCAGCAGGAGGGGTGTGGGGCTGGGCTGGGGGCTGTCAGTGGGGAGGGGGCTGTTGGTCAGTGGGGAGGGGGCCAGGCTGAGCCTGGATCCAGGCAGTTCTCCCCATTGCCAGGACGAACTCGGATTCGGCGCTGCACACGAGCGTGATGAACCCCACGCCCCAGGACTCCTACCTGGGCCCCTCCCAGGCCGGGCCCCCCCCTGGCCGCCGAGCTGGTGAGCGCCCCCCACTCCCCCTGAGGGGTCTGGGGGCTCCCAGGGCAGCCCCCCCCTCCCCTCTGTG